GACTTATCGTTTAAGCATATAACATTTATATGAAACGGCTCAAACAATAATGTTTGCCCTTAATATTAAACTAGATTAGTTTAACATGTGAAATGTCCATAAAGTATCATCATATGATTGGTTTTAGGGCACATTTCCAACAGATGACATAATCATCCTTGCTTTAAAAGGGTTGTTTGCTGATTATAATACATTTCGGTGTGTTATTAGAGGTTGAGAGAATAGGATCTCTCTGAAAGAATTTCGATCCGGGCTTCTTGCTGAAGAAGTTATAATTGGACAATCTTGTGAATCTTCCTTGTCTTTTGGAATTGCAATGGTTGCAAGCACTCAGTCTGAAAAAGGAAAAGCTCTTAGTCTTGATCACAGTTCAAGCCAAGACTACAGCTTTAATGGTGGATCTACTTCTAATGGATTTCACTCTGGACAAGGGTCATTTTCTTCAAATGGCTCTGAACATATTAATGGTAGTTATGGCAATACAATGTTTTCTGGGGGATACAAGGGGACACATTACAGAGGTAAAGGAAGAGGCAGATTCCAGTATAACAATGGTCCCAGATTTCACTCTCTACCATACAATTCGAGTCCTGGAATTCTTGGCGCCCCAAAGGCTTTTCAACACACCTGTCCTGATCATCCAAATGCGATTCCCACTTGTCAAATCTGTAACAAGAAAGGTCATGTGGTTGCAGATTGCTTTCAAAGGCATAATACATCAACTGCTGGACATGGAGCAGCTATTCAATGTCAAATTTGTTGGAAGTTTGGACACTCTACTACTCAATGTTATCACAGAAACAACTTTGCATATCAAGGGAGACCACCCTCAGTTAATCTCACTGTGATGCAAGCAAGTCACAATCCTTCTTCATCATCTGAACAGTTCTGGGTTGCGGATACTGGTGCCACGTCTCATATGACTTTAGAACTTGCGAATCTTGACATGGCTACTCATTACCAAGGCATAGATACAATAACCACTGCCAGTGGTGCAGGTTTGACAATTTCTAATATTGGTACATCTACACTGCAAGCTCCCAGCCACATCTTTACACTGAACAATGTGTTGCACGTTCCTAAACTTTCACAACACTTATTATCCATATATCAACTCTGCAAGGATAACAAGTGTAGATTCATATGTGATGATATTTCCCCATCCCGTTTAAGTCTCCACAGCAGAAATCACCTGCATCATCCACATTTCATGTATGTTATCTAGCCAAACCAGTTACTACAAGCTTATGGCATCAACGATTAGGGCATCCCTTCAATAAAGTCACCTCTGCAATGCTTCAACACATCAACCCTTTTGCATTCACAGATACCTGTCACAGCATTTGTACTCCTTGTTTGGAAGGCAAATTTACAAAGTTGTCTTTTTCTTTTCCTGCAACTAAGTCTGTAACTCCATTAGAGGTTATTCATAGTGATGTATGGGGCCCTGCCCCTGTGATGTCATTTGAAGGGTATAGGTACTATGTTAGTTTTGTGGATGAATGTACTCGATATACATGGATTTTTCCATTAAGAAATAAAGTAGAAGTTTTTCAAATCTTTGTTAAGTTTCATGCCTACTTACATACCCAGGTTTCTGCACATATTAAAATCTTCCAAAGTGATGGTGGTGGTGAATTCATAAGTCATCAATTTCAACATTTTCTCACAACCAAAGGTATTTTGCATCAAAAATCCTGCCCCTACACTCCAGAGCAAAATGGCTTGGCAGAAAGGAAGCACAGACATATTTTGGAAACTGCCATCACCTTATTGCAAACAGCTACACTTCCTTCCAAATTCTGGTTTTTTGCTTGTTCCACAGCCATTTATCTGATAAATCGAATGCCTTGTATTTCCTTACAAATGCAATCTCCTTACCAGTTATTATTTGGTCACTCTCCACCTCTTACACACCTCAAAGTATTTGGGTGTGCTTGTTACCCTCTCTTAAAACCTTATAACACCTCCAAACTCCAACCCAAAACCACAACCTGTACATTTTTGGGATATCCAGCCAACTACAAAGGTTTTATCTGTCTAGATGGAATCATAAACAAAATCTATATTTCTAGACATGTTCTCTTTGATGAAACACTGTTCCCATACTCCACCACACTATCTGCTATATCTCCAATGCCTTCATCCACATCCAAGTCTTTCCTTCCTTCATCTGCACCACTCATACCATCAGTTTCATTGCATAATCATGTCACTTTACCATCATCACATCTTCATTCATCTTCATCTCAAGCCTCAGAGTCCTTGAGTCCAATTTCATCTAGTGCCACAGATTCCTTGTCTGCATCTACAACCTCAGAGTGTTTTCAACCACAATCATGTACAACTTCAGCATCTGTTCAATCATCTTCACTGCATAATTCCATGTCACTGTCACCCTCTTCACCCATAGTGTTTAGCCCTCATGCTGTTACATAGTTCCCTATCCTTGCTGATCCTGATTTCCAACAAGACCATCTAATTGTTGATCTTCCTATCCATATGAATCTGCATCCAATGCAGACTCGTTCCAAAAGTGGCATTGTCAAAAGAAAGGCTTATTCTGCATCAGTGGCTCTCCCCTCACCACTTTTAGAACCCAAAACATTCAAAGCAGCTGCAAAAATGAAAGAGTGGCAGTCTGCTATGCAAGAGGAAATTGCTGCTTTAAATTCTCAGCAAACTTGGTCCCTTGTTCCTCTTCCACCCCATAAAAATCTGGTTGGTTGTAAGTGGGTATACAGAATCAAACGAAATGCAGATGGTTCCATCTCCCGATACAAAGCCAGGCTTGTTGCAAAGGGGTACAGTCAGGAGGAAGGCATTGATTATGGTGAAACGTTCAGTCCAGTGGTTAAACCTACAACTATTCGATTAATCCTAGCATTGGCAACACAGTTTCATTGGCCTCTTCGCCAACTGGATGTTAAAAATGCATTCTTACATGGTTTACTCAATGAAGAGGTGTATATGGAACAACCTCCAGGCTTTCAAAGTTCTAGTCATCCCTCCACTTATGTATGCAAGCTTCAAAAATCTCTATATGGTCTAAAACAGGCTCCTCGAGCCTGGAATGAACGGTTTACAAGTTTTTTGCCTGGATTGGGGTTTCGACAGTCTCCAACCGATCCTTCTTTGTTTGTTAAACATACATCAGAGGGCACAGTTGTTCTCTTGCTTTATGTGGATGATGTGATTCTCACAGGGAGTGATTCCCAGTTGGTTTCCAATGTTATTTCAGCTTTCACTATGGAATTTGATATGAAGTATTTGGGAGTTCTGAACTATTTCTTAGGGCTTCAGATTCAATACACTTCTGATGGTCTCTTTGTTTCTCAATCCAAATACACCAAGGAGTTGATTGACAAGGTTGATCTTCAAGATTGTAAATCTTGTGCCACTCCTTGTCTTCCCCATCACAGACTGATCAAAGATGATGGGAAACCTTATCACAGTCCTGACCAGTATCGTAGTATTGTAGGTGCACTGCAATAGCTCACGTTTACTCGACCTGATATCGCGTTTTCAGTTAATCAAGCTTGCCAGTTTATGCACAATCCTATGGAATCCTATGTAGTTGCAGTCAAACGCATAATTCGATATCTCAAAGGCACTTCAGGGTATGGGATTCGATTTCAATAAGGACCACTCTATCTGCAATCCTATAGTGATTGAGATTGGGCTGGCGATCCCAACGATCGCAGATCTACATCTGGTTTCATTGTATTCCTTGGTTCCAATCCCATTTCTTGGGCTTCAAAGAAGCAACACACTGTTTCTCGGTCTTCCACAGAGGCTGAATATCGAGCCCTTGCCATCACTGCAGCTGAGCTTGCCTGGATACGCCAATTGTTCTGTGATCTTCACATTCCTTTGCCCTTGCCTCCCATGATACATTGTGACAATGTTTCTGCCATCGCTCTATCCACCAATCCAGTGTTTCATGCTAAGTCTAAACACATTGAAATCGATTACCACTTTGTGCGAGAACGTGTCACACGAGCAGATCTCCAAATTCAACATGTTTCTTCCTCTGATCAGTCAGCTGACATTTTGACTAAGGGTCTATTTGCACCCTTGTTCCAGTTGCATTGTGGCAATCTCATGCTCAGCTCCTACACGCATGAGCTTGAGGGGGGATGTAAGAATAGTGAAGTAAGAAATACCAACCTCCAAGTGAAAGATAAATCTATGGCAGAAACAAATGACACTTGTCAAGATCCTACATAGTTTGTTATAAGGTTGTTAGATAGCAGTTAGTCCTAAGCTTAGTAAGAAGGTGTTGTAACTACATATAACAGTCCTTTTTGTAAACAGAAAAGTGTGTGAAAAATAACAAGTCTTTTCTTCTCTCTAAATCTGTTTTCCCTCCTAACTCTCTCTCTCTCTCTCATTTCTTCTTCTTTCTTCTGCGTCATTTCTTCTTTCTTCATCTTTAAGGTTTCTGCAATTCTTACAGTTGTAAGTGTGAACAAATTTTTTTGATCCCAAATACTTTATTATTTATGCTTATACATGCTTTGTTTAGATTGTTGAAACTGCAAGAATTTTATGCAGCGTCACAGATGACTCGGCTTGACTTAAATCCTAAGAGGTTTAAAAAAGGTATTTATGATATTATCATATTGATTCACCATGATTTAACAGGTAGAACTTAGAGATTAAACAAGCACAATCTCAAATCAGGATTTAGTTTTGAATTTCTGTGCAGGTGCATTTTGCAACATCACCAACAGTTACTACTACACATTAGGGACAATTAAACAAGCACGTTGTAGAATCCATAAAAAATCATGTAAATTGTATATAGTTAGGACTTAGAAATTAGCTATTTTGTTGGTACATAGGCTCTTAATGCAAATCCAATAGAATCTAGATGAAACTGAAAGACTTATTATACCATGTGAATTAAGTTGCTTTGATTAATTTCTGGTGTGGGTATTTTTGCTAGCGATAATTCTATTCATACCACAAAGGATTTTATATACAAGCACGTATACTTGACAATTAAAGATCTCTACAAATCAGAAATACAATCAAAATCAAGTTACAATATTAATCCTTAAACCTTGAGAGAGTATTTCCTTAGACAATACTACTTCTCTAAGTAGCTACCATCGTGCATCAATGACAACAAACACTTCCACTTTGCATAGCAGATGGATTATTTATCATAACTAACCGACGCTCTTGAATTACCAACCCAGGTAAGATCGAGAAAGCGTCATTGACCTCGTTCATTACCCCGAATCCTAATTGCTACATGCAAACAGGGTGTCTGACCTAGTTAATTATTTTCTCAAGCCAACACACCGCGGCGGAGTAATTACACAACTGCAGTCGCATCAATCTCTTCAAAACGGGTTGCATCGTTACATGAAAAGGAGCCAGTAGTGGTCATGTTCTTGAGACATGATCTTGACCTGAAGTACATGCACCGCAACCACTTCGTCACCCAAATAAGAAACCGAATAGTGTGTATTGCGCCGACTATGGCCAGCAACCCATTCCAAAGATAGACGGAATAGCTGTAAATGCTTATATTAGAGTTAAAGTAAATGCTTATATATGAAAAATCGAAATAAGGAGGGACAATCATGAGCAGCACTTGTAGGTAGGTGAATGCCAGGAATGTGAGAGTGACGCACATGAACAGCGATAAGAGCCACATGCAAAATCGATTGTGGAGAGGAAATCCACTAATGAGCAAAAGGGTGACACTCAAAGAAGCAAGAAACGAGATGGTATTGTAATTTATGAAATCGACGAAGAGATCTTCCCAAATGTAGCCTAACACTGCAGTTCCAGCCATGCATGTTCTCTGTTCAGTGCAAATTGTTTTAGAATAATTGATTCCAGGAGAATCAATGGTAGTGTCTGTATCTGTATTATTAGTTTCCCAAACACCACCTGGTGGGTTGACTATGGCTTGAAAAGTCATCGTCGAGATCATCGTAGCCACAACCATCAGCATGCCACGTGTATCGACCACCCAATTACTCGGATATCTCAACCATTCCATCAATTTTATCCAGCACCTCCTTGCTGGCGTTGATCCCTTTTCCGATGATGCTACTCGTTTGTGAAGCTTCTTTTTCTTCTTTACCCTTCTTGGATTTGGTGCTACAACAGCAGCGGCGGCAACATCTGAGTTAGGATTATCATTTTCATTATTTTCCCTTCTGATTAATCCTGCGTCCATCAAAATCTGTTGAATTTCTAAGCTTCTGCTAAAGTCCTCTCTTGTAACGCTGCTGTACTCTAAGATATCTGACATGGTCAGAGATATCCCATTCACACCAGTTGCTTCTGCTCTTATAGCATCAACAGAAAGCAGGTAACGTATAGTCTGTAAATAATATATACACTTTTATTAATTTTGTGGAAATTATGCTCCTAAGGGGAGCAAACAAAAGAAAGTACACATAAATTTAGGTTAATCTCAATTTAGTATTTTGAATTTTCTTGATTTTCTACATTTGATATATCTAAATTTTTTTTTATCTCAGTTTGATCCTTAATTAAAGTCATAATTCTAAAACAGTTTCACAGATCCGTTAAGTTTTCCGACAAAAATTTCGTTAACTGATTATATGGAATCCATATGAACAATAACTGAATGACATGTATGAGCCTACTTGGTTATTAAAAAAATAAAAATTAACAAAAGAACTAAAATTAGAAAAAAAAAAAAAATTAAAATAATATAAACCTACAAACCTAAAACCTGAAAGGGTGAAGATCATTTAAAAGAAAAAGGAAGTCGTTCAGCTGACCATGAAGGTCTCCGACGACCACCACGGTAGATTCCAAGCCTAGCTGATCGACGTTTGCCTCTTTGTGAAGGATGTTGGATGTGCAGAGGATCAACTATCGACAACCTCTACGGGAAACACGTCGGGCAATTGGGTCGGGTTCAGATTTCTAGATGCCCAATAAAAAACAAACCTGAGGTTCCTAACCCATTCGAGACTAAGCTTTCCGTCGCCCGGCCAGCCAGCTGGGGTTTTCGGATTAGGCTTTGGCTACGATGGGTTGTCTTCGGATTCGAAGTTGGTCATAGCGGAAGATACCGAATCGATGACCGGCAACAGTTCTGCTGCAAATACTTCTTGCAACTTTTTGAGATGCAGATGGACGGAATTCTCTTTTATTCCAGTTGAAAGGGAGGTAAGGGAAGGGAGTGGGTTGCAGATCTGGGGAACGGAAACCCATATGCAGCACAAAAAGGAGTGGATTCATTCTACCGCTGCCCCATGTGCAGTCGAAGGGAGGGAGATAGAGGCTTTTGTTTTTTTGGTCAAAGGGAGATAGAGGCTCAAATTTGGTCATTTGCGATTCCTCTTCAATGTTTATCAGAGAAGTTATGGGGTGTAGTTAAATGAAGATTTTAAGGAGTAGGGATCATCCCTTTATTATTATTTTTTTTTTCATTTGCCTTTTCTCTTATTTGAACGGTCACGGTTATTTACGATAATATCTTATATTAATTTTTGTAAAAATAAAAAGATAAAATAGAGAATGTCAAAGGAAGAGATGGAAAAAGGTTGTAAGAGAATCCTAGTTCGAATTTTAAGGAATTTTAAAAGATTTTAAAATTATGGTGTAGTCAACTAGAATTTTAAAAGATTTTCAAAGAATTCATTCAAATACAGGGGTAGTCAATTAAATAATTTTAAAAGACTTTAGAATCCTAATGTAGCTAACTAGGATTTTAAAAGATTTTTATATAGTCTATGCAAATCTATCAATATTAAAAAATTCATAAATTTTGAAGAATTTCTTTCAATAAGAGATTTTATAGGATTTGAAAAGGGATTATAAGCATAACAAAATTCTACCTCCACCCTAGGATTTCTTTTCAATCCCCTCTCTCTCTTTCTCTCTCTCTATTTTCTTCCAGACATAGAACCTGCCAATCTGATTTCCTTTCATGTTCATCCGTCACCGTCCCAGTAGCAAACTACAACATTTGTAAAATTTTTTATTTTCTTTATTTTGGATTGTGTAATAGTATTTCTTGTAATGCTTTGATGGGAAGTGTTAATGGCTACTAACTGTTCTTGTAATGATTATGCATTCTATCTGAAGGTGTTTATTTTTTACCATATTAATTGAACTCTTCGAAATTACTACTAAGAATCTTATTATCAATTCAAGCTTTCTGGTCTTTTTCGTGTAATCATATTAGTGTAAGGGTGCAAGCATCTTCCAAAGCCTATTTATATTTGTACTTATATTGGTAGTTGTACTTAGAAACAAAACATTATGAACTAATCAATTGTTGAGGAAAAATGATTAATTTTGAGACATTTGATTTAAGAAGCATCACTTGTTTTGGTTAGTTAAAATTATTTTTCGTAAAGAAATCACAATGCAAATGAGAAAGGGAAAGAAAACACATATTTGATTAGTTTATATTTCCATATATATATATATATGTTTATGTCTTTTTCAAATTGTGCACTGAGAAAAGAATTTATACTGTAGGAGTCAAAAAAGAAATCCTAAGAAATACATGAAAGAAATCCTCATAAATCCATAAAAATCTATAATAATTTGTCCATTAAGAAATTAAAATTAAAAATTAAAAAGTTAAAATACTAGAAACCTAAAAGGGTGAAGATCGTTTAAAAGAAAAAGGAGGTCCACGAAGGTCTCCGACGACTACCACGGTAGATTCCAGGCCTAACTGATCGACGTTTGGCCTCTTTGTGGAGGATCTTGAATGTGCAGAAGACCAAGCTTGTCGACAACCACGACGGGAAACACGGGCAATTGGGTCGGGTCCGGATTTCTAGATGCCCAATAAAAAACAAACACGAGGTTCCTAACCCATTCGAGACTGAGCTTTCCGTCGGCCGGCCAGCCAACTGGAGTATCCGGATTAGGCCGCAGCGACGATGGGTTATCTTCGGATTCGGAGTTGGTGACGGCGGAAGACGCCTAATCGATGACCGGCAGCGGTGCTGCTGCTAATACTTCCGCAACTTCTTGAGATGCAGATGGACGCGATTCTTTCTTTTATTCCAGTTGAACTGGAGGTAAGGGAAGGGAGTGGGTTGCAGATCTGGGTAAGGGAAACCCATATGCAGCACAAAAAGGAAGTGGATTCATTCCACCGCCGCCCATCTGCAGTCGAAGGGAGGGAGAGTCTCAAACTTGCTCTGCAATTCCTCCTCATATGCGATTCCAGATAACTTAGTTTTTAAATTTTTAATATTTTAGTTTTTCTAGTATTTATGTGAACTCATATTGACACGTGGTATCTAATTATTCTTTACGTAGATGCATCAACAGAGATTTTAACAAATAATTTAAAGGATGTATAAAAATACCTCAGAATTAATTATAACTTTAGTACCAAGCTTAACAAAAAACCTTAAGGTACGAAATGTTAAAAACCAAAAAACAAAAAACTTCACGAAATTAATGCCATAAACTATATATAAAGGGGAAGAAACAAAAGAAACTTTACAAATGAACATATATTAATTAATATAGTAAAAAACTAAGAATATCCAGTATAGAAAATGGAAATATATATACGTACCTTAATTTGCCTTAGCATCAAAGCTAAGTGCAGGATGGTCACACCACCATCACATCCAGCTCTTGAGTTGAGGAACTCACCATTGCTGTCGTCTCTTTCAACCAACCTTTTCAAGCACTCTAACTGGTTGTGTTTAATACACAAGTGCAAAACTGTTTCTTTCGATCTGTTTTCAACTTTGACATAAATGGACTCAGGATTTTTATCAATCAACTTCTGCAGCACCTCAACTTCTCCATTCATGGCTGCATAGTGAAGAGGGATTCTTCCCTTTTCATCGCAACGCAAGCACGCATCAGCATACACAGATAACAAAGCTTCGACAGTCTCCTTGTGGCCCTCAGCAGAAGCCAAGTGCAGGGGCGTGCGTCCATCGGCGTCCACCCGCTCTGCAAGTTTGGGATTTTTAGTGCAAAGGGCTTTGGTAAACTCAGCGTGGCCGAGCAAAGCCGAAACATGCAAGGGGGTTCCAGTTTTTCCGGTCTGCAGGGATATTCTCCTTAGAATTTCTGTGTCTTTTTCAATCAATCTGTTTAAGTATTCCACATCCCCACTCCGTGATGAATCGTACACTTCTTCTTGATCATGCCGTGTGATCTCCATTGTTTTTTTTCTCTCTCTTTCTGAACCTTGCTTCACTTAGAAAAATTTTCTGAGAGCGATCGATTATTTGTAATAGCGAACAAAATGCGCGTATATCAAAAACACTCTTATAAGGTTAAATATAAAAGCAATTACAAAACGACTTTAAGGTGATTCGCGCATGGAATGATTCAAACCGTTGAAGCTTGTGTGGAGCTCGCAAATTATCGATGACCAAGACCATTCCCCATCCTGCATGCAAGTGGCTAAATGTGATACGTACACGTAGCAAAATTATTTTTGCGGAGAAATTTGAATGGAAAACAATAAAGGTTATCCCGAAGTAGTTGATGACCAATATTTATACTATCTATTTCGTTCTTTTATATTTCTTTTCATGTCGAGTTTAGTTGGAAGTTTTAAGTATTTGTGATAATTTTACCATATTGTGTTTCTATCAGTAGCAGGATCAAGTTTGGTGGAAAAGTATGCAAACGATGGAATTTTTTAGTGATTTTAGTTGGAGATAAAAAATACGCAAGGAAACTGTTCGATGAGAGATCAAGAAAAGTAAGGAACAAAAGTAATTTACCAATAACAGTAGCAAGAGGTCCGTTATGTTGTGTTTGGTTTGATAGCGTAACTTTCTGAATGCTACAAGGAAATGGCAGCAGCCGTTTGTGACTTTGTGTGTGGCTTTCGTTTGTAATATGGAAGTCTTTGTTGGATTAATGGCCAAGTGGCCAAAACCAACTTTGCTGATAGTGAAAGACAAAAAGAAGGTGGACAACATTATTGTGTCAGCTTTTTAGTCAAAATGGTCTTTGAGATATGCATAACTCCTCACTTCGGTCCTTAAGATTTCAAATCAATGGAAGTGGTCCCTGAGATTGTCCACCATCCATCATTTTGGTCATTCCGTTAAAAACTCCGTTAAGTGTCTCGAAACTCTTGGCCGGAAGTTTGGGCAATTTTCAAGGGAGAGAACATAGAAGTATCCAAGGGGGAGAGCATCTGGCTCTCCCATGGGAAAGGTTGAACATGGGTTGACAGAAAATCAAGAGAGCTAGAGTGAAAAGTATTCTAGTGAAAGAATTCTTGGGGTAGAGTGAGGCTCTTGGGAAAATTCTGTCAGTGGGTGTACAAGGGATTTGGGACTGGGTTATGTCGATTTAACTCATATGTAGTGAAGAGCAAAATCTCGCCGAGGACGAAGGCAGGATTTTGCCGAACCTCATAATTTTTTTGGTGTCTTCATTTCTTGTATTTTATTATGTTCAACTATGGATCTATCTTGGTAAGGTAATCTGAATCTTGTTTCTGCACTAGCGAGCGGGCCAAGGCACAGCACGTTAAGCATGTTGCTTGAAAGATCTAGGCCCGATAAGCTTGTGCAGTTTGCTACACCCTGAGGAAACTGGCCCTTGAGTCCCAAATCCAAAAGCTTGATATTTAAAACTTTGCTCTCGTGAGGGTGCCACGAGATGGTGTTGTATCTTATGAAATTGACGAATTTCTCTTGCCAAAGGTAGCCTAAAACTGCAGTTCCAGCTATACATTTATTCTCTTCACTGCAAACTATTTCCGAATGAATGGTAGAGTTGGTATTATTACTTTCCCAAACACCACCAGGTGGGTTAACTACGGCTTGAAAAGTCATGGTCGAGATCATCGTAGCCACAACCATCAGCATGCCACGTGTCTCGACCACCCAATTACTCGGATATCTCAAGCGTTTCTTCAATTTTATCCACTACCACCTTGCTGGCATTGATCCCTTTTCCGATGGCGCTACTTGTTTGTGAAGCTTCTTTTTCTTCTTTATCCTTCTTGGTTTTGGTGATTCAACAACAACAGCAGCGGCAACAGCTGATGTAGGATTTTCATTTTCATTGTGTTCTCTTCTGATTAATCCAGCGTCTATAAAAAATCTGTTGAATTTCTATAAGCTTCTGCCAAAGTCTTCTCTTGCATTGCTACTGTACTCTAAGATATCTGACATGGTCAGAGACAACCCATTCGCACCAATTGCTTCGCCTCTTATAGCATCAACGGAAAGCAGGTAACGTATAGTCTGTAAATAATATATATACATTATTAATTTGGTGAAAATTTTGCTCCTTGGGGAACAAACAAAAGAAAGTTTACACATGAACGTATATTAATGTACGTACCTTAATTTGCCTTGCATCAAAGCTAAGTGCAGGATGGTCACACCACCATCACAGCCGGCTCTTGAGTTGAGGAACTCACCATTGCTGTCGTCTCTTAGCACTGTAACTGGTTGTGTATAATACACAAGTGCAAAACTGTTTCTTTCGATCTGTTTTCAACTTTGACATGAATGGACTCAGGATTTTTATCAATCAACTTCTGGAGCACCTCAACTTCTCCTCTCATGGCTGCATAGTGAAGAGGGATTCTTCCTTTCTCGTCACAACGCAAGCAAGCATCAGCATACACAGATAACAAAGCTTCAACGGTCTCCTTGTGGCCCTCAGCAGAAGCCAAGTGCAGGGGCGTGCGTCCATTGGCGTCCACCTGCCCTGCAAGTTTGTGATTGTTAGTGCAAAGGGCTTTGGTAAACTCCATGTGGCCAAGCAAAGCCGAAACATGCAAGGGGGTTCCGGTTTTTCCGGTCTGGAGGGATATTCTCCTTGGAATGTCTGGGTCTTTTTTGATCAATCTGTTCAAGTATTCTACACCCCCAATCCGTGATGCCTCATACACTTCATCTTCATCATGCCGTCTGATCTCCTTTATTCTCTTTCTCTCTCTCTCTCTCTCTCTCTCTCTGAACTTTGCTTAACCTAGAAAAAATTTCAGAGAGCGATTATTTATAACAGCTTACAAAACGCGTTTTTGATCGTTAGAACAACACCCTCCAATAATACTAGTTAAATTTTTGTTATTGTAGCTAACTAAAGGGCTCAAATTCTAATTTGGCTAGCCACCACTTCCAAGAATACTAGCTATTTTAGCTTAAGTTAAAATATTTTCAAATCTTTGGGTAATGCTAGGGAGATCAACTAAAATCTAAAAAGGATGACCTCGAGCCAACAAGGCTCCCTGCTTTGCGAGGGTCCAGGGGGAGGGGGGAAACGTCTATCGTACACAACCTTATCCTTGTTTGCAAATATGTTGTTTCTACGACCTGAACACATAACCTTTCAATCATAAACGAGCAACCTTTCCATTGAGCCAAGGCTCACCCTCTAGAGAGGCTAATTATTTAGACCAAGTTTTGTAATCCATATGACATGGTTGTTGGTGATTGGTTTATCATTTAAGTGTTAATTAACGTGTTTATTTCCTATTGGTAACACATCACAGAGTTTACAAATTTGATCTAAAAAATTGGTATACCTATATTACAATCTTATAATATATAATTAATAATAATATTCTTTAATAATTATTTATAATATATAATCCAAAATAATTTCATATTTAATTAATAAATAATTTTATTTAGAATTATTTCTTCCTTCCTACTTGTTGTTTCTTGCTCGGTGCTTGTCACTTCTTCTTGTTTGTTACTTTGCTTGCTCCTTCTTTCTGCGAGTAAAGAGCTCGGTGGGGAAGGAGAGTGAATGCAGCTGCCAGTTTAGCTTCTTTCGGTTGAACGAGTAGACTACCTTTCCTTTTAAGTCACTCGAGTAAACTTCCTAGCTTCTTGCTCTTGTGTTGTAGCTATTATCCATCAATAAAGCAAGTTTCGTCTCATTTTCTGAAAAATCAGTCATACTATTTCACTATAGCTAAGCTAATGATGATACAGGATCTGAATTTGTCTACAGATGATGATGATGTCCATTCCTGGCTTCGATTTATCTATCTCTAGACTCGAAATGGGAGCAAGTTTAAAAAAAGGATCTTAGAGTGTCTACAGTTGGGTCAGGAGGGTCTCTTAACGCCTTCTTTTTTCTTCTCATCGAAATTATTTCACAAAGACTTGCTATGGTACCTAAAATCGGGGCAAGTTTAACCCTAAACTTAGAAACCCATATTCATCTTCTTCACTTGAAGTCCACAAACAATGCAATTTTATAGTTTTTAATGTTTATCAAAAATTTACCTCTCACTTTCCTCTTAGCTAAATTTAGATACTCATTTAGCTAGCTCCATAAAGGTTGTTTTTTCTGCATTTTTTGTTAAATTAGCCAAAAAAAATCTCATTTAGCTAAGTCGTCGGAGATCCTGTCACCCTTCCAGAAGCAGTTTTTTATAAACACCCAGCCTAAGGTGATTCTTACATGCCGACATGACTTAATGTGTCTTGATCTTTCAAAGTCAATTAAAAAGGGACAATTTAAGGAGATTCGCGTGTTTCCGCGTGGACCGATGCTAAATTTCTAACCTTACTGTCGAAGATTGCGTGGAGCTTTCAAAGTATTGACGACCAAGACCATTCCCCATCCTGCATGCAAGTGGCCAAAATTACACGTAGCAAAATTATGCTGGATAAATTTGTATGGAAAACAACAAAGGTAACCGTATATAGGGCCCAATCTCCTGAAGTCTTCCAAATCTTGGTTGGTGCTGGCTCACGACAGGTTACCCGACCTGGTAGCGCTGAGAGCATTTCCAGTGGTGAAATTTTGTCCCTACAATCGTATAGTTCTGAGATATGAGATCCGAAGTCACTACAAGAAAAATGAGCTTTGGGTACAAAATAAAGGGCACAATTGAGAATTTTGTGTCAGTTTGACCACCAAAAAGCTTAAACAATTCCCATTCCATAGAGGGCACCATCTATTGTGCCCAATGTTAAAAAAAGCAGACACAAAACAGTAATGGGCACGGAAATCGTGTCGAGTGGGATCACATGACAACTTTTTTACTGAAAATGGGCACAAAAAATATTTTGTGTCTATAAAAATTATTTGTCAAAGGCACTATATGTTCTCTCTCGTTTGTCTTTACCTCCACTAGCACACCAATAATTAAAATTTATAAAATTGTGGTAAATAATGGTATGAAGCTGTTTATTACCGTGCAATATTTTAACCTCAAAATAAGTTAGCAATAATGTTGTTCAAATTTGTTTTTCCCGAAAGCTGAACCTCAGATCTCTCACTTACAAATAAAGAAGAATACCACTACACCATAGTACTAAGTGGCATGTTTTAGATTTACAAAGGATCATTTCCAGGTGCAATGAATGTTTGTTAGATTCGTATCTTTTTGAATTGCTTTTTGGATTGTTATCTTCTTGCAGGTTTGTTTTTTATACTTGGTGATATGGTTTTTGGTTTTAAAGTCCTACCTGCAGTGACACATAACCAACAATTGTGCCCTTAGGGTTGGTCTCTGTGCAAAAGTTAGTTGGTCTTCAGATAGACAAATGAGTTAATAATTGTAGATTCCTTTTTATGACACTAATGATAGAAATTGTGTCCACTATATATTAATAAATAATAAATCACTCTACTTCTCATTGGGTCTTCAAATAGAGAATATATTTTAATAATTATAAATTCCTCTTTTCTGACACAAATGTTAGAAATTGTGTCCAGTAAATATTAATAAATAATAAATACTCTATAGCAAAAGAATATGTTGGCACAATTATGGATTTGTGCCTTTATTCTACTATAAAACGTCTACACACTCCCTTACTAATTTGTATATGGAAATTAAGAAGGTTGCTTCATACACATATGTTTCTTTTGAATTTGAGCAAGTTCTACATCATTGACAATGGCGGACAGGCGACGTCGTGGAGTTAGAATTGGAACTGAATCTCCAGCATCACATTCGTATATTGCTTCCAACATTACAACAGAAAATTCCACAACGAATCCTCCAGTTCAACGTCCACGACAACCTGTTAATGCCGGGCGCATGCCTCGTCCTTTTAATAATCAGTACATTCTTACTACTTTTGTTGATGGTCGCCTTGGCTACGCATTACCCTTCAATAACGGATGCGTACGCGCACCTCAAGGACGTGTATTGCCAGCATGGGCAAACCCAGGTAGGACAGAACAATATCCTGTCAATTTGGTTTCTGCTGAAACAACAACTGAACAGTCTACCAGTTCTGTCGTTATTATTGAAGAACCACGCACTTATCAAGCACAAATTCGTCCTAGAGGTCTGTCTGTCCTACAGTTGAGCTCACGAAATATGCAGAATGTTACCGTTGAGATTTTAAACAGCGATGACGAGGACAATTAATATATTTTGTATTATGTTATATTTCACTGGTGTACTATGAAAATATAACTATCTTATGCTATGCTGGACTCCTCTTGGGTCCTTTTATCAACTTATGTCGTATTCCAATATAATAATGTTTTCTTTCTAATTAGCCCTTGTAGATTTACTCCTAGTATATATTTTTTTAGGTTATAATTATGTTTCTCGTCCGCTTCATACCGCAGAATTCAGTGAATTCACAGCGTGGCAACACAAAGGTTATGAGACATTATTCTATACTAAAACCCAAACGCCAGTGTACTGTTCACGGACAGTGGAGTGGCGAAAATGCCCTCCAAATTTTTTCCCATCAGCTGTAACTTTTAGCTTTTTCTACAGTACAATGACGATTTTGCCCTTGGAAACCACGCGTCTGTCATCAGTGGTTCTTCCGCTCCAGTTCTACTCTGCCTTTTCTTTGGGTTCCCGTCTCTCTCTCTCTCTCTCTCTCTCTCTCTCTCTCTCACCATTTTCAGATTTTCCTTATTTTGGAGCCTAGGTTTTTTCTCTCTCCCACGCCTTCGTTGTTCTCGCTATCCGTCCTTCGCGTCTATGTCTCGCCGATTATTCACGGCCGTTTTCTTCTCGGAAAACTAACGATCTCTGGTGAGTTTTTTGCGTTTCTTGCCGTGTCTAATTTCAATTTTTTTTTTCGTTGTTTGGGTGTGTGTGGCTTTGCGATGCGGTTTGATTTTTGGTTTCAGGAAAAGTTATCAATGCGATCTAAGGTTTTTTGGTGAGTTTTCTGCTTTGCTGATTGTATGTTGTTTGATTCTTTTTTCGTGCTTTGGGTCTGCCTTTCTGATCTGCTTTCATATTTGGTTTCAGCAAAAGAAGTTGTTTGAATTTTGGCCTTTCTGTCTGCAACCTGGCAAGCTGTTTGCGATCAAGGTATTTAACTTTTTTTTTTTTTTTTGGTGCTGGTTCTTTCTCCGGTGATGGCATGTTTGATTGGTCAAAAAATGAAATAAATAAATTATGAGATTTACTGAATTATGCTTCATTTAATTAAATCCTTGGTTTTGTTGGGTTGTCATTGTTTGGCCTGTTCTAAACTTATATGTCTTGGGTTGTCAATTTTTTTCGGTTGTCATTTTTTCCTTTTATTTTCTGCTGGAAGCACTATTATATTCATGCTAATTTTCATGAAAAGGAAATGTGTTTAATTGAAGGGTTAAATATGTATGAAGCAGGACATAGTATGCTATAAGACATTTTTCCTTTTATTCTCTGTTTCTTCGTTATCGATTTCATAGGATTTGGGTTTGGGCAGATCAATCCTGCAAACCGCTTCAATAACATGTCTTGGAACTCAACTGGCCACTATCAGCGCAGTCTCCATATTCTTGGTAATACACCAGAAGCAATCATCTCATGGCTTGAAAAGGATGGAAAGACGAATCCAGGGCAATCACATAGCATTAACTCATCAGACATAATCAACGTTTGGAAATGCTTTGTCTTATTTATTTATTTGATTAACAATTCAAACTTATCTTTGTATTTATTAGTATCTTCATTTCCTTGACAATTCAAGCATATCTTTTTTGTGTTTCTTTTTTTTTCTGAGTGTTTAATTTTATTTGAATTTCTTAATTTGTTCAAAGGATGCTTTGGTTAGTAGCCATCTTATTTAATGATTTTTTTTTCTTTTGGTTTTTGAGCACCAATGGTATTGGTGAATGGTGAAGAGGTTTGTATGGGTTCATGTATCTTAAACATGTAGTGAGAAGTGAGGGTTTTGTTTTAGTATTTTAGATAATTTGAGGAACATGTAGATACTAAGATTTGTGGTTGCTTTCTTAAACCATGATAAAGCAGTCCATGTAATTTTAACATAGATATAATTTTTTATCTAATGCATGAGTATATGAAATGTTAATACGATAATATATTGGGCAACACTATGTGATTTAAAATGAGAAGAGAGACAATGAACCATGTTTGATATTTTATTTGTGTTGGTTGTTTTAAATTTGAGCTTTTTTGAGTTGGATTCATGTGTTTTGTTTAAGATATCATTTTTGGTTTATGAATGGTTTGCCAGTGTGAAAGTTTGCTTATTTTTTATGGTTGGATTCATGGGTTTTCTTAAGCTTTGAAGTTCTTAGTTTTTATCAAGAAATTTAATCTGGGTTTCATTTATTTGTGAAACTAGCACTTTTTTGTGAAGATTTTCAGTAAATGATTGCTTATTTGGCTTTAAATTTGATCTCTTTAAATTTTCAGGTTGTTCTAGACTTTGTCAACAGTGCAGAGTTGTCTTCGGCAGAGCTCGATAGCAACTCTAGGTCAGTCTGAATTGCGAGTAGATATGATTTTTGTTTAATTTATTCGTCTTCTTTCAAATTTATGTGCAAATATTTTTGAAGCCCAAGTGATTCAAAGTTCAAATTTATTTGTAAAGTATAAGTGTGGGTGTGGACACCCAATATAACTTTTACATGGTGTTGCTATCTGGTATTTGATAGAATTATATTGGGGACTGTCTAAATTTTGGGTTTAGCTGCAGATGAAGCGAAATAAAAAGGTTATAAATTAGAGGTATAATTTAATTATTATATTTGATGCGTCATTTGATTAAATGAATACAGTAGGAACATTGATTTGACGTATGTGCTTTCGTATGGAAAACTGAATTTTGTGTGTTTATAAGTGCGTATATACTCAATATTTATTTTAATTAAAATGGAATTGACTGAAAATTATGGAGAATTAGTGTAAATTTACACACTTGAAGAAATAGAATGAAAATGTAAGTAAAGAAAAATTAGAATGTAATACATAATATCTTTGTGTGTGTGTGTGTGTGTGTGTGTGTGTGTGTGTGTGTGTGTGTGTGTAAGGGATTGATGACTAAATGTGCTACGTTAAGAGATTGCTTATTTCGTTAGTTAAGGGCAGCAGTTGATAGAAGCATAACCAAACCCAGATAAGAGTCACATTTTGATTGCCTTCCTGTCCTTATTTTTTGTATTTTTCACTTAGCTCTATGTTGTTAACTGCAAATTTTGGTATTTTGTTCCCTTTAGTTTTATCTACTAATTATTGTTCTACGAATTGTATTCTTCAGTTAAATAATGATTAACTAGAATGTTCCAAATAAATAAATAAATAAATAAATAAAATCAAGCATTGCAGTGTTTGGTATAATAATTTACATCCAATATGATCATTAGCCAATCGAGAACCTAATTTGGGAATTGGGTTTTAAAGTTTTAATAGTTTTGTTGTGTGTAAATTTCTTGCTTTGCCTACCAAGAATCTAATAACAAACGGCTTAGTTATTTTCCCCAAATGGTTTTCAATTTGTTGTAGGTAAACAAGAGCTACTGGACTATTATGCACAGGGGAATGGAAGGAAAGTAAAAATTCAGGCTTTTAATACAAATTGGAAATTGAGCGACACTAAACAAACGATAGGTAAAACTAACCACTACTTTCTTTCCATTTGAATATAAATCAATTGATTAAGTCTGTGTTTTAAAATGAAGTTTCAATTGTTTTCAAATTCTAACAACGATCTCCTACACGTTAAGATAATCTATTTAGAGTTTTGATCCACTTTTGATTACGCAGAATTTCAATTTTTTTCCATATAAAGTTTCCATTTTTCTTTAGAGTAAGAGAAGAAGCTTTAATTTGGGTTTACAATTTTTCCTTTTGTAGATTTTCAAAGTAGGACCAAGCTTTCAAAAGGCACTTCAGGTTCTGGATTTTTTTTTTGATTTTTTTTTTTTTTTGTTATGCTTTTGTTATATCTGTTCAAAGAAACCAAGATCTGTTAATATCAAATACGTCAGCCATTGGCAATGGAATAGTATGTATTATTATTTCTCCATTCTATAGTCATATTAATAATCTTTTAGAATCCTTTTGCTGGAACACTTGCTTTAATCTGGATTTGGTCTAACTTAAATGCATTTCTATGTACTGCTTGAAGAAGCAAAACAATTCTGGTTTGCTTTTGTTTTGTACTCGGGGTGTAAAGATAATTCTCTTCTAAGCAAGCTCGCTTATCTTTGAACTCTTTAACTGATTTGTGCCTGCAACAAGATTTTTTTCGGACTTTCTGCAGTGTATTTAACAGTATTAGGTCTATGTCCTGCATGTCACTAGGTTTACTCATTTTTCAGTTCACATTGATCACGGATTTATAGTTGATTGCATTTCATTTTGACTTCTTTAAAAGGGGTTTTCATTAGCATGCCTGACATGATAAAATCGTGTCTTTTGGATTAATTCAAACAAAGTAAACATTTCATTCGTATTTGTGATCGTTGTTAATATTATAGTTACATGTCTACGAAAAAGGATTTCTTTTAATGAATAATCTGTTATTACCCTAAACAAGTTAACTTTGCTTAGAGTTTGCTGCTTAGTATGTTATGTTCCTAGGTAACATGCTTCTGAAATTAGGATTTGAACCTTCTGCTCCTCTGCTTTTTGATTTGTATATATGTCAAATTTCTCTCAATTGCTAATGGATTTATTTTCTTTTGAAATTTCAGAAAGTTGGGTCGTGGGAGGAAGAAGCTGGTTCGTTGCCATTTTTAGGTATATAATCATGTGCCCTGATAGCATATTCAAAGCCTATTTAGTTATATGGATTTTTTATTTATCTTTCTAAAACTTTTGTGCCTAGATTTTAAATATGTGATTGGTAATTTCTTAGCATGATAATTATCAAGCATGTGATCGTTATTCATGAATACAAAACAATCCAAAACCTTCATTCACAAATCACAAGTATACGATGAGCTATTTAGAAGTTCGACATTTTCATCATCCAATTCAATACCATTTGGGATACTATGCTAGAATTCTATTACAGGTCCAGTTAAGAGATGTGAAGCATGAAGAATATCTCTTTAGGAAGTGTTAGCTAATCCGGTTAATTGGTCAACAAAATTAGCCATTTTCGTCATCTAGATTGGATAACCTAGGAAGAATGTTAGAATGATTGATCATATTCGTTAGCCTTAATCATGTCACGAGTAGTGTCTATTTGTATTTCAATCAGTTTAACTCCCCTTTTAACCCTTGAATAAGGCATTACCAGTTTCTGGATTGATTCTACATTTTAGTCTGTTTTTATGCCTAATACTGTTTGTTATTCTTAAATTTTCCATTTTGTAGTTGTATAAGTTTTCCATAGGCTTCGATCATCTCCCCAATAAACCCAGAGCCTCATTTTCTCCTGCTAAGCAAAAGAAAATCAAGGAGGCCTGCAACTTCGTATGCAGTCCGCCACTGCAAATCAGTCTAGAAACTGGAAAATTCAAAGGTAAAACACACCAATATCTTTGATTTTGGTCTCTACTGCACAGTTTGACAGACAAATGATAAACCTAACACATGCATGCTCTGATTTCCTTGGTAGGTCATATTTTTCACTTTCTGGATGTGCAAAGTTTGGATAGTACACATCACCGGGCCAAACCTTTCTCAGGTAAGGAATTACATCGCGTTTGTTGAAAATATTTGCTTCCTTTCCTCTGATGTATGTATATGAATGATGTATGTGTGTGATTTTAGATTGTAATGTATCACAAATTTGTGGCATGAAAATTGATATTTGTAGACTTACCCTTTATTTTTTGGCTGTGATGGGGGAAAGGAAAATAAAATTTCAAAGATTGATACTTTTATGTGATTTCTTGGCTCTTTTTTTCATATGATTTTCATTGTATGTGTGCCAGTGTATGTCTCTTCTTGAAAAATGCATGTTGAAAATGGGAGAATTTTGGACATTGACATGTTTAGAAGTCAGGTTTTCTGAATGAAGATACTCTTATGATTTGTTTGTAATTTGTTTTGCAAATGGGTAGGAATGTCATTCTAAAAGGATATTGGCAGGAGGGGGTGGAATGTCATTCTAAGATATATATATCAGCAGCAAGGGTGTGGAAGCTCACACGCTCAGATTTCAACGCGTTTCGAAGGTGGAAATGACAAGAATGTGCAGTGTGGACCTCCAATTTCTAGTGCTATGATGCATGAGGACTGCCAAAGTGAGAATACTGGTTAGTTGTCATCAAGCAGCCCTTGTAGATGTGTATTTTGTTTATATATTGCTAGTTTAACCATTAGTACGTTTGACTTGGGGATACAAGCTTGGATATGTTATATTTTGTTGTATATAGAGAATCCCGGGTATGTCCAGCATAGGATAACATGTATTTTTTGGTTTAACATTTGGATGGGTTGTATTGTTAGGTTGCATGAATCGGTCTTAGCCGAGAACATGGGTTATGTAATATATTAACTTCACTATTTTAGTGCTAATGTTGATTTATGTTTAGTTTGTAATGGATGATTTGTAAGTTTCTAAATTTAGGTGGAAATTAGGTTCTATGAGCAACCTGATGATTTCCATGTTTAAATAAAAATATCCAATTATGCCACAAAATTTTAATTGTGCTGGAGTTTTATTGTATTTATTAAAATATAATAGTGGCACAATTTTAAAGTTGTGCCCTTGCTTTAACATTTATACAGCAATCTGAGCCTTTAAAATAGCAATTGTGCCCATCTTACACCATACATTCAGTAGCCTTTATTAGAGGTAAGACACAATAAGGGTTGTATTTGTGCTTAGCTTTGGGCACAAAACATCATATTGTGTGCTATAAGTAATGGTGACGCCCATAGAGGGCACATATACAAACTTAGTTGCTGCACTGTTGCTATTGGTCTATGAGCACAAATGTTGGTGCTTTTTGGCCTCAAAAGGCACATATAATTTTTTGTGTGCAGTGCTCATTTTTTTGTAGTGAGTCTCCCAATTGGTTAGAAACTGTTGAAATCCATTTGTCCCACATCGGACAGAGAGATAGAAAAGTCATTTATATAGAGTTATCCCACTCTAACTAACACTGAGGTTTTTTGTGATAAAATCTCACACCTGACGGATTAAGGGAAAGTGGGGATAGTATCGGTGTTGTTAGAGTGTGGGTCTTTGGTTCGTCGACCTGAAAAATTTTACATGGTACCCGAGCCAGGGAACGGGCTCATACCACCACGTGATATGGTGGGTCCCCATTGGCCCCGTGTGTATGGGTGAGCCCTGACTTGGCTCCACGTGGTTGCTGATGTGTGAAACTTCACGTGTGATCCATAAAAAAGAGGTCTCACGTGCGGGGGAGTGTTGAAACCTATTTGTCCCACATTGGACAGAGGGAAGGAAAAAAGCCATTTATATAGAAAACTCTCACTCTAACTAACCTTTGGTGATAAAACCTCACACCTAACCGATTGGGCAGGTGGTAAAAGTGATGACAATATCGATATTGTTGGAGTAAACCTTTAACCCGTCGACCTGAAAAATTTTACAAAAACTCGATTAGACCTTAAAGTATAAGGGCTAGCAAAAGTTTATGAAAACTCCCACAAATAAGGATCGGTTTTAGTGAACTCAAGATGGAGTGGAGCCTGGATGAATTTGAGTGGGAAACAAACCACCACAGGAAATCAAAGTGCAATGAAAGGCGTGCAAACATGCGCAAATGAAGCTTGGGGACTAAATTTGGAAACTAAAGGATATGGAAGTTGATGATTGGTTTATTACTTAAACGTTGATAGATGTGCTCATTTTCATTGGTGACACATCATTTAGTTTGCAAATTTAGTCTCCCTAGCATTACTCTATTCTTTTTCCTTTTTGTTTTTCTTCTTTTACCTCTTGGAATCCAACGGTTCGGATTTCGTTTTGACTTGTTTAATTTTGTAGTTTCTAACTTTAAAGATTATACCAAAAGGACTTGTCATTGGAACTAATATTTTAGAGAGTTCTCAATTGTAGTGGTTGAGACCCTAAGAGAGTTCTCACCACCGTATAAACCTCATATATAGAGACATAAGGCTTTCAATAGACCAGAAAGGAAGTCCTCAAAGTATAAGAAAGTATAGAAGCTTGTCGGAACTCCATTAGAGCAAATATTCATTTAGGAACATGAATATTTTTGTTCAGTTGGGAGACGCGCTAAGATTTTTTTTTGAAGTTTCCCGTTGTTTTGAATGGCTTTTAATTTAATGGAATGCAACCATGCATGGGCCGATTGTTTGTTAATTCTTTTTCCATATTATGACAATTTTATTTGGCTTGATTATGCAAACATCGAAGTTTTCTGTTCATATTTTTGGTAATCGGCTGTCGAATATTCAAGAACGAGCGGAGGAATATGCAGCACTGATCATGGAAGAGCTGGACCCGGACAACATTGGACATATTGACGTTAACATCTTTCTTGTTTCTTCAAATTTGTTTCTTTAAAGTATTTAGTTTTGTTAATTTTAGCAATAAGCAAAGGAAGTTGAGATTTCATCATAAATCAAATTGTAAATATAGTGAGTAATTCAACTCCTTATAAGCGTATATAAAGTTTAATAACCTTCCGAAGTGAGACATTTTTTTTTCTATCCTCACATTAAAATTAGAAATTTGAAACAAAAGTTTTTGAGACACCAAATTGGTCTAAAAATAAAGGAACCCTAAAAATAACCCACTCCTTCACATTTTAAATCCTAGCAACTTGGGCTTTATGTTTGAAAAAATCATTCAAGTCTAGATTGAGCAGAATTAGATGAGCTCTGTTTTAGTTTAATTCTAGCTTGAAAGTTGGTTTGAAAGTACTTTTAAAGCAACTCAAAGCGGCTTTCAACTATTTAATTTAAATACAATTCCAAACAAGTCCTAATATTATTTTAGCTATGCTTGAACTTGGTACTCAACTTAGTTTGGCTCAACTCATTTATAACTGGAGTTCATCGTAATTGAACCCATTAGCAAGCTCAACCATCATATTTTTCAAACCTAACAACAATTTGGGGCTGAAATGCAGTTGTACAACTTGGAAATGCTTCTTCTCCAGGACCCAATCCAATCAACGAACTTAGCCACGGACAATCGTGTACAGAGCCAGCTGCTAAGCCAGAAGCTAGTCCCAACCAAAGAGCACAACCCTCTACGGCGGTGGTACAGGAGGCTGGCCTACTTCATGGAGGACAACTGGAGGAGGATTTGGGTCATTGCCCTATGGATTTCAATCTGTTTGGGCTTGTACACTTGGAACTTTGTCCAGTATAAGAATCGGGCCGTCTTTGATGTAATGGGCTATTTTGTGTCCACTGCTAAGGGTGGAGCTGAGACCCTCAAGTTCAACATGGCCCTAATTCTTCTACCAGTTTGTAGAAATTCAATTACTTGGCTAAGAAACAATACGGTAATACCAAGTTAGGGGTTGTCCCTTTTGATGACAATATCAATTTTCATAAGGTAAGATGCTAAAAATTACTATATAGGTGTCCTCGATTAATGTGATCAACAAAAATGATACATGTCGACATATTTTAGTGGTTACAATGATATTGACGCATTATCGATAACACTTGCAACATGTTCTTTAATAAGACAAAATGTTTATTTCATAGTATGACTAATACAGTTGGTCTTAAATTATTAGGTGATTGCATTTGGTATCCTGATTGGAGTAGGGTTACATGCCGATTCACATTTGACATGCAACTTTCCAAGACTATTACACTTTACTGACAATGAATACAAGCCGATGAAGCCGTTTTTCGGGACCAAACGGCCAGACGACTATTGGTGGTTCGTGAGAGGCACCGAGGGCTAGACTGGGGTGGTGATGGTGGTGCTAATGCTTGTGGCCTACATGTTAGCAAAACCATGGTTCCGTCGCAACAGGCTTACCCTCCCTAAAACCGTAAAGAAACTAATTGGGTTCAACGCCTTTTGGTACTCCCACCATCTATTTGTCATAGTCTACATCCTCTTTATCATCCATGGATACTTTCTGTATCTATCCAAGAATTGAGAGAAGAAGACGGTAAGTGACTCATAAGTTACAAGTGTACTACCACACAGATAACAACTCACATAGTATGAGTATATTGTCACCGTGACATTTTGTACCAATGATCTATTGACACGGATAGTACAATGGCGGTATAATCATGCAATGTCCATGTCTAGCTAGCGCATGAAATTGAATTGTAGTCTGCAGGCTTTTGCTTTTTTATTGACGATTTATAACCTTGCTATGTTCATGTATTGTCACAGACGTGGATGTATTTGGCTGTTCCAATCCTACTCTACGCATGTGAGCGCTTAATTCGTGCATTCAGTTCTCGCTATGAAACTGTTAAAATTTCGAAGTTACGTTCGAAAGTTGATCAACTTCTTTCTCACCACGAACATTTTTATGAAAAGATAAATACACACTTACTTCAATCTAAGATCACAATTTATTGTTTGTGTCAAATCTTGGATTGTGTTGGTGGAGATATTTTTAAGTGTCTTCGGAACACGACATGTTATACTAAGACCATCTCCAACCTTTGGCCTAAAACTTAAAATTTTTAGCCCAGAAAATTTAGGTTTTAACTTAAAATAGTTTTTCTACTCTAACCATTTTGGCCCAAAATTTTAGCCATAGATTATTAAAGAATGAATTTAGGCTAATTTTTTTTTTTAAATTTACTTTAAAAAAAATTATATAGACTATCCGAAATTAATTTTATGAACATTTTAACCTAAAAATATTTAAATTCCGATAAACATTGAAAAAAACACTAAACCAACACATGAAACTCATGAAACACTATAGAAGAATATAAAACACATAATTTTAACCGTTGAATTTAAATTTGGACCATTAGATCTTTTTTTTACCGTTAGATTTGATCATATTTGATCTCAATCATTGGATTCAATAAATATATAAATATAAAACAAAAATATTAACTAAATTAAATGTGAACCGTTGGATAACCAACGACCCATTTGAATGTGTGCCGTTAGGCTCAATTTGATTGGCAGACAAGTGGGAGAGTGGGTGGGGGCTTCACTACTAATCTTGGTCTAAATCTGGCTTTTTTTTAGGTTTTAGGTTTTAGGTCCAAATTAGAACTTGGGGTGGAATGGATTGGAGGAGGAATAAAAGAGGAATTATAGGTTTGAGGTCATGGGTTGGAGTAGGCAAGTGCTATAATTTAAGTGGGGGTAATGCGGGAAATCAAAAGTTTAAACTAAATTTGTAAACCAAATAATGTACGTCACCAATAAGAAGCAAACACGTTAATCGTTACTTTGTTAATAACCCAATCATCTACAACCACATCATTTGGTTTGCAAATTTGGTTAAATTTTTTTTGTCTTCCTAGCATTACCCTTTCAGTGATTGGATATCTGAAAAATAAAATTTCCAACTACTTCTATTTATGACACTTTATGTATCAAGCTGTGTTTCCAGCACACAAAAATTTCTCTGTGTTGATGAAGAATTCATATCTTTGATTAATTTTTCAGGTTGCAGTTTATCTGGGGAATGTTTTGGCCCTGCATCACTACTGGGCAATATATCTATGTGAAGATATCTCCCCATTTCAATGGTAATTTTCGGTACATATAGTTTTCATCATCGTTAATATTTAGTCTTCCGGTACTTAATTAGTTTCCACATTTTTAGAGGAAATTTTAAGCTCAAATCTTATAAACGATAATTGTTGATAAAAAAACATAAAGCTGACTATTGTGAGAATTGACGTGTGTTTTATAGGCATCCCTTCTCGGTTACTTCGGCTCCTGGAGACGACTACACAAGCATTCATATTCGAACAAATTTTCTCCAAGGTAATTTCATGTGTATAAACATCACTGATTTGGTTGATTTCTTGTACATATTGTTGGAAAATATTAGTATTTTAGGTATTATATTGTTTGAGTTTTCTTATAAGTTTAGTTTGGGCCTAACCTGTTAGTATTAGGATTAGGTTTGTTCGTTATAAATAGCATGCTTGTTATTCAGTTGAGAATAAATTAGTCAAGATGTAGCCTATTGCGGTTTTGTAACCGTTTCGGCATTCTTGTTTATTAATATATTCTTATTATTTTGTAATCTTATTTGTAGCACACTTTATATTCAACTTGGTATGTTTGATCCTTTGGAGTTGAATCTGTTCTTGGTGGCTAGTTTGTTTTTTAGTTTGCTCGGTATCAGTTTTGTTTAAAAAATGGTTTGCGTCTGTTTGCCCCGGCCTGCTAGTACCATCGGTGCTGCTCAACCGGCACCAGCCTGACCACTACCAGATCGACCCACCTCTGACCTACACTGTCGCCCGCCTCATCTATTCTTGCCTGTACCACCGCTGCTGCTCGACAACCACGAACCACCACTTGTTTTTGACGAAGTCCAGACCCGAGAACCACAAACTCGGATCGAGTTCGTCTTCGCCCTGCACTTTGCCGTAGTCTCGTACCCGCAGTCGACTCCCATGAGTCGGATCTGTCGAACCACTGCAATCCTACCGCTGCTAGTTTGAAAACCTTATTCTTGCTGTTTTTGTTGGTCCGATGATTGCTGCACTAGTTTGCAGTTCCACAGAAGAGAAGCGAAGAAGGATACAGAAAAAAAAAAAAAAAAAAAAAAAAAAAAAAAAGTAGAAAAGAAAATGGGAAAAAAATGGTTAAGTTTGTTTTATGGTCACACGAGTTGTTGGTTTGTTTGATATTGTTTTGTGACCGTAACTCGAGTGCTTGGAATTGTGATCACTTGAGTGATAGTGTTTGTGTTTGTTCGTTCATTGCTAATATTGAGATATGAATATTGTATTTTGTAGGTGTGTCAGCTTCCATCTATCGAAAGCAATATCAAACCTAGATAATTTTGCAGTACTTGTATTTAGTGAATAATAAAGTTTGTCGTTCATGAACACATAAATTTCAGAATTTTATCTGTATATTATATCAACAACTGACAACTGCACACAATGACTATCAATTTTGTTGTCGGATTTAACTTAAGCATGTATTAGCAGGATGCCTGGACTCCTGATTGATGGTCCATATGTTGCACCAGCACAAGACTACAAAAAATACGAAGCCCTCCTACTTGTAGGCCTTGGCATTGGTGCCACTCCACTAATAAGCATTCTCAAAGACGTGCTTAGCAACAATATTAAGCACCAAAAGGAAGTTGAAGATAATCAAGGGATCAAATACAACAAAAGGACTTTTGTCACCTAAAGAGCTTACTTCTACTGCATGGATGACGAGAGAGCAAGGCTCGTTTGAGTGGTTTAGGGTGTGATGAATGAAGTGGCTGGAACTCATATAGATGGTGTGACTGAGCTCCATAAGTACTGCACAAGAGTGTATGAAGAAGGAGATGCTCGATCGGCTCTTACCACAATGCTTCAATCTCTTAATCATGCCAAAAACGGCATCAACGTAGTTTCGGGTACGAGGGTTAAGACTCATTTTCCTAGATCGAATTGGCGTGACATTTTTAAGCGTGTCGCAATTAAGCACATTGATCAACGAGTTGGTAAGTACATTTAATATAACTTTAATGGAACGTTGTCTGGTTAGACTATCTGCTAATCATGGGGTTTAAGTGAATTGAGATCATTAATTATATTAGTTCATGCTAAAACGTATGGTTTTACCTAACATGTGTGTTACTTAAGCATTGTCTTTTTATTAAAATTTAACAAAAACAAGGTTAAAAATTGTTTTTCTTGCTTTGCTTTTAGAAAAGTGATTTCCGCATATTTCATATTCTCAATTTATCCTTCTGCAAGTCCGTGTGTATCTTTTAACTTTTAACTTTTAGATTGAACAAATGAAAGAAAAATGTATCTTTTAACTTTTAGATTGAACAAATGAAAGAACAAATGAAAGAAAAATTAACATAAAAAAAAATTAGCAAATATGTATAGAACGAGAAAAAACGTGTGCAACTCTCCCTTTTACTGTAAATGTTCGAAGTATTAAGTTCGTTTTCATAAGTCCTTTTGCTGAAGGAGTATTTTACTGTGGTGCACATGGATCAGTAGGGGAGTTAAAGAGGTTAGCTCAGGATTTTTTTTTCAGAAAAACCGAGACCAAGTTTGATTTCCATGAAGAAAACTTTTAAATTAACTTCCTTATTGAACGTCCCCTTTTGGGTATAAACGTAATGGCCAAGCAATTAAGTAATGATCTCAGATTCATATAAATTAATTCTATATTTTATTATTTTTAGTTTCAATTTTCCAATTGTATGGTTGCATTTTGGGCGTAACGATCCTCACCCATTCAGAGGAAGGTAGGTGTTTCACACGTGACCATTATTAAAGAGTTAATCTCACCTATTTTTTTTTAAGTTCATTTGAAAGATAATAATAATATTACACATGATGAAGTTCTGTTTAAGTTTTATACTTGTAAGTGAAATGTTTTAGATTCGATTCTCGTCAAAGATGAATTTGAATCAAATTATTGCCAGCCTATTGTGAGGCTTAGCTGACTCCCACCCCCTCAATGTATATAATATCTCATCTGTTAAAAAATGCCTAATTCTTGCATTATTATGATAAACCGTTGGCAAATTAACTCTAAACAAATGTTTTGGAAAAGCAGATTTAAAAGGCATTCTCAGTGCCTTCTAATTGGAAAGTTGTTCCTACAGCCCATAGGTACCAAATTAAGCAATTCATGTTAAAAAGCTTCTTGTTTTATTTATTTGTTTGTAAAAAAATAGTATCATTTTCTTCAAGCTAACCAATGGACCACTAAAATATGAGATAATGACTTATATGTAAAGAGTTTACTGTCATCGTGATATCTGATCAATCCAATAGTAAAATATTATGTGTGAATAAAGAGTTTACTGTCATCGTGATATCTGATCAATCCAATAGTAAAATATTATGTGTGAATTTATCTTCTCATGACATTGCATTTTTTAATCGAGACGCTACATGACAATAAATGCGTTTAATGTAAGTTTCTCTCCAAATCTAAGGAGTTTGGTGTAATCGAGAGATAACTCCGATAATATAGTATAATCTCTTTAAAAAGAAAGACTTGCATGAAACAAGAACGTCGATATAACTTGGTCTCAAACCTGTCATGGTGGTAATGTATATGTTAAAACACATTGTGACACCAACACGTGAAAGATTAGAACAATATCACATTGACAGTCATGTTTTATATATATAATCCACACTACTCTTAGAAGCTAGATCATCAAGAAACATTTCACTATAAAATTATACTAAACTGTATCTCTATTCTATCGCGCGTGTTGTATGAAAAGAAGTTAAAACCCATAACCTAATTAACACAAAATTTTGTAGGACAGTTTGCCAATGGCCATGGAGAATCAAGTTTCTACCCAGAAGAAAAAAGCATGCAATTGACCTCCATCATTGGCACCAAAAAGTGTAACTTGGGTTAATGATGATTTTTGCTAGTTTATCTCCAGTCCAGCATGATGGTTCAGATAATTCTCCCCAAAAACCAAGACCCAATGATAGAATCCTCGCAACCGAGCCAAATCACTCCATTCTTAATCTCTGATTAAAGTTTTAATTGCAAAAAGAAAGATTTGGTTAGAACATTGAATGTTTTATTATTCTGAACCTTCCTCATTTCAATGACAAGTAATATGATTTGGTATTAAAAAATGGACAAGTACTGACTAGTCAGTACCTAATGTACTCACTATAATTTGTGACCAATAAGATTATAACACCTGTCTATTTAGTATTTTCCCAAGCCTTTTGCTATGTTGATAACCAAACACCTGCCTTTCTCCTACCATGACCCCTGCCTTGGCAAATCTGCAAACTCGAAGCCCTTCGTCGATCCCATCGCAGCCTTCTCCTCCAACCTCCTCCGTCGAATCCACCCTCGTCCTCTCCACCCAACCTTCTCCCTCATCTCCCTTCCTCTGAAAATCCGACACCTTCGTCTGCAAATCCCGACCAAACCAGCACCTGACCCTCGATTTGCAGCGGAGAGGGGCTGGTGGAAATATTCGGGCTATAATCGACGGAAAGCTTGTAGGAAGGAGTATGTGTGCCTTCACGGAGGAGAGACGAAAAGGAGTCTGAGGTCTGTCGCGTTGGCAGGGAGGAAGAAGAAAGGTTGTGTTTGGCCACAGGTTTAAGAGAAAAGTTTGTGTTTGGTTACAGTGATGTGAGAAAGTACAAATAAACAGGTGTTGTAATTTTATTTGGCCACATGTTATGGTGAGTAAATTGGTTACTGACTAATCAGTATCCAAGTATTTTTCTTAAAAAATTAAATTCGACCAAAAAAGTTAAAAATTTTTGAAATTACAGTGACACCCCACCGACTCGCACCGAGCACCAACTTCAAGGGATCACACTGTAATTTCCACTGTGCGACTCAATTCCCCCTCAGCTACTAGATCTTTCCCCCCATCATAAATCCCCGTCACTTCCTTCTGAAGCATTATCAGTTGCCGCACTCATTGCAAACCCCCACCCCACCCCTCTCTCTCTCTCTCCTTTCTCTCTCTCTCTCTCTCTCTCCAAAAACCAAGATCTCTCTCAAAAAACCAAGAGTTGCTTACGCTTTCTGATTCTGTCCAATGCCTACAGCTGAAGCTAAACCAGAACAACCGAAAGGAAGTGAAGAAGTTTCCCAACCCCCTCTCAACTACAAGGTAATTAGAAATTCTAAGAACACCAGCTTTGTTATTTTTCAGAAAAAGATTTCAACTTCCAGATTTTTGTAACTTCATTTCTGTTTTGCAGATTTGGGTTTTGAAAGTCCCTATCCACTGTGAAGGCTGCAAGAAAAAGGTCGCAAAAATCTTGAAAAAAATCGATGGTAAAAACCTTAAAAATCCCTCTGATGTTATTAACCTGTTTTTGTAGTTTTTTAATCGTACGGTTCTTATTGATTCGATGGTTTCTGATTTGCATGTCTCGTATCATCAACTTTTTCAGTTACAGACTTACACTTCAGCTCAAATTTCTCAATTTTTTCAACATGGGTTTTGATTTTTATTGTGTTTTTATTGCTTTAATTTAAAATATATGTGATTTTTATTAATTTTTTGATGATTTTTTTTTGGTGGGTTTTCAGGGGTTTACAAAACAGAGTTTGACGGGAATATCGGAAAGGAAAACAAAGTTACAGTGACCGGAAACGTGGAGGCGGAGATTTTGATCAGGAAACTGGCTAAGGGAGGGAAATATGCAGAGATGTGGCCTTGTCAGAAGGCTAACAACAGCAATAATTCAAATGACAAGAAGAAAAATAAGGAGAAGAATAAGGAGAAACAGCAAGGCGAAGATACCCAAGGGTCCGAGGACGGCAACCATGGCGGAACTAGAGGCGGCGGTAGTTGTGATGATGAAAGGGAGACGGTTGAGGCTGAAGTTGTTCAAGTTCAGGATAATCGTGGTAAGAAGGAAAATAAAGGTGGTAGTGGCGCGGGTGGGAGTAAGACCGCTGAGGGGGTTAATGCTGTGAAAGTGAATGAGGGGGGTGGTGCACCGGCGAAATCCGGCGGCGGTGGAAAGGGTAAAGAGGTGAAGGCTGAGGTGGTGAAGCAGGGGAAGCCTGTGAACATGTCTGAACAGCCGGCTGCGGCGGAGAAGTGTTTTGGTAGGGATGACGATGAAGATGACAGTAATTGTGAGGTTGATAAAAGTGGAGGCGGCGGCCGAGGCCGCGGCGGCGCTAGTAGCAGTGGAACTAAGAAGAACAAGAAGGGGCCAAGTGGGAAGGCCAATCCTGATGATTCAGATGAGGTTGAACAATGTGGTGCTCCTCCACGCACTGGATCACCTCCAAATCATGGCAATGTACCACGTGGACCTCCTATGCCTCAGGGGCCTTACCCTTACATGCTTCCATCTGGTACTCAAGGCCCTAATTTTGCTTCAGCTTTTGCTCCGGCTCCGGCTCCGGCTTCGGCTTCAGCACCAGCTCCAGCCAATCACATGGCTACACATCAGCAGATGTATGAGTACCAGTACCCCAGGCAGAACTACAACGGGCTTCCTCTCCAAGCTATGAACTTCAATACGGCCTACCCCGCCAGGAGCTACGGTGCATCCCAATATGCTGCACCACTACCTCACGCACACTCTTACACTTATGCGTCTCAAAGTGTGGCAGCTGAGAGTGAGCTGAGGTCCTATCATTCGGACTCGTATCCGCAGTATTACCCGTCGCCGCCGGAGTATAATTCGCCGCAGCAGTCCGATTCCTTTGTGCTGTTCAGCGACGAGAATCCGAACGGGTGCAGCATTATGTGAAGCATTGTGTGGCAGCGGCAGCATTCCGGCAGCGTTCTGACAGCATGGTGGTGGAAGTGTTATACTGCTTGTACAAGTGCTTTTGGAGAAGACTCGTGTAGTGGGTTAGTGGGGAAGGATAAATGGGTTGTTAATTAAAACAACAATATTACTTTCACTTCAGTATCCTATCACGGAAATATACATTATTGTGCATATATGGAAAGAAAAAAAATAAAATAAAGATGCAATAAATTACAGGAGATATGAAGTCATACTATAACAAGAAGTAGAAAACTATTAAAAACAAAATCAATTAATGCAGCTCTTAAGATAAACAAAAGTTTGAAAGCTCTAAAAGATTATGAGCAAAAGCTGCAACTGTAAAAAGACATACAAAAATTTTTCTAAATGTGAGAAAAACCGAATATATATGGAAGAGAGAATGGTACAATAATTTACCCAATCAACTGATAAACGTCAAGGCATCTTAGAAGATTCGTTTGAAAGAAAATGCATTGCTAAAAAAAAATCACATTCAATACAAAGGGAATGTCAACCTTTCTTCAAAGCTATATAAACAGCATGAATAATAGCTCTGGCGGTTCGTCTATTAGGGTTTTACTAGTAGTTGGTCTTTATATCCAACTCTAGTTTAGTTATCTACTAGGGTTTCAGTATCCATATTAAAAAAGCTGTTAACTTGCAGATAATGTTTTACCTTAGCAGTAGAAAATAATTATGCGTATATATTCTGATTCAAATTTAATTTTCATCGATTCTTCTCTTAATAATTTAATTTACTAACGCTATCGTGTATAAAAAAATAGTTGTTAACTTTGTAATATTCGGTTTAATTAATTAAGAAGGGTCTCTAATTGTGTCTCAACTCTGCTTTCTGATGTGTAAGGTAGATTTGACAATTTGGCTTATTATGCAGTTGTTAGTTTAATCACGCATGAAGAGAAGGAGGTAAAATGAATTTCGACCATTCGAAATTGAAACAAACTTACTTTGACCTGTCCAGTTGCATACAAGAACCCTTTCTAGGTTGCTTTGAAGCAACGGCTACAGCACGTTCGGGGAGAAACTTATCATGTCATTGTAGTGATTGATATGTTTTAAGCCTATAATGTACTGACGTGTTTTAACATTTTTGCATGATAGCATATGATTAGAATGGAACAATGTAAGCAACATTCTTTTGCATGTAAGTTATATCACGTATTGACATTAATTTTAAAATTTTCATATGGATAAATATGATTAGTTTTGAATATGATCATAGTGATATTTTTGTTGCATGGAAGGCCTTGGGTCAACCTTTTTAAGCAATATCCATGGTCATGGGCGGATTCATAGAGGGACCGGGATAGTCACGGAAGCACCCGAGGTATTGGAAAAACACAAATGGACTCGTAAATTGAGTGAACATATTTTTTTTATTTTATATAAATGACCTTGCTAAAAAAGAGTCTACGATTTAGACTTTGTAACTTATAATATTATTTTTGAACCTTTTACATTAAACTCTCTGACCTTAAAATCTGAATTCACCACTGTCCATGAGGCACTTTTTCTTGGTTAGTTTGTAGGACCATTTCAATCTTTCAATCTTTGGAAATACTCTCTTAATGATTCGTAAAGCGAAAATTTATAATGGAGAAAGTGGAAAGATTAGTTAAAACTATTTATTAGAGATGTCCTTAAAAGGAAGAGATTTTTCAATGTGACTGGTACAATGATTGTACATCAAGTATCACTATACAAATAGTGGGATATGTGTGCTTAAAGGTTAATAACTTAAAAAGTAAAATTTCTAACTACTCTTATTAAAACACGTGATGTACTACTTATATTCTCATTACAACTGAAAATTTCTTCTTTAAAGGATGCCAATCACATTGTTAACTGAAAAGAAATAATTTACAATTGTGTAATGCCCTAGATTAATTTTGTCTCTTTCTAAGTTGTGGAAACCCATTTCTAGATTCCAATAAAATATCCAAAATATCGAGCTAGGGTTTTCTAGATGTTCTTAGCTGGTTTTGTGAAAGAAGAAAATGTTTAAATTGAAAAAGTCTCTTGTTCTTTAATTACTATAAAACTTGAGATATTAAAATAATTTATCTCCTTTGAAAGTTTGTACTTTAAAGAGCAATCTCTTACTTCCATTAATCCTTTGGAGTTTGTGGTGGACTGTCCCCTTTGTTTTAGTTTTCATTTTTTTTTTTTTTCCTTCTTTTAATCTGTAGACTTCTGCTTTTGGATTAAAAGCACTTTTTTGAGATTAATTTAAAAGCAGATTTGTACGAGTAGCATGTAGGCCTTTTCTTTAATTATTGCTTTTGAGACGTGCCTCCTAGGGCAAGCAACCCCATAAGCAAGCAAATCATGTTCAGGATCGAGTCGGAAACAGGAGCAGGATGCTTTTTAATTAAAATGATTTTAAAGATTCCTATAATTCTTTATTTTGATTTTTAAGATTTAAAAGTAATAGATTTGGTTTATGAGTTTGTTCACAATCAATTATTTTAGTCTTTTTATGAAAACTCTCCATAAAATAAGGATAAAATGATAAAAATATTCTTAATTTTTGTCAAATCATTTCGGCCTATTATTTATTATATTGAGGGTAATTTTATCATTTCGATCCATATTTAACATAATTTTTCACTGAGGGATCAAAATGATTGATGATGGACAATCTCATAGACCATTTCTATTGATTTCAAATCTCAGAAACCAAAATGAAGAGTTAGAGGCAAATATCACAGATCTTTTTATCTAAAAAGCCTATTTAAACACGTAAAATTAATCACATTGTTAACAAATTCTCTAATACACGTAGATTTTTACATAAACTGATGGAGTTTACTTGTGAAAGATTTTGCTTTAGCAATGTGATTAGTTTTAGTAATGTTATTTGAACACGTAAAATTGAAACTCACCACATTGATGACATGCCTTAGTTTTACATGCAATGATGGGGCCAGTAGGTGGAGTATCAACAGTGTCTCTTTAAAAGGGAGCTATGTCCCATACACTTTGCATTATATGGGATTTGAGCCACATGGTATAAGTTGGTGTAAAGTTATAAGAGTAGTTAGCCATGACAAAGACATTCACTTCGGATTTTTGTATCCGGAGTCCAAATTTGGATCGTTCAAAAGAGAGATAAAGAGATCTAGACCGTCAAGTATTCAGGTTTTTGTGAAGTAGATTAGTGAGATGAGCTAATAAGCATCGTGAGTTTGAAATTAAGTAGCCTAAATCTTTTCCAGAGCTTTGGACATAAAGATCCGGAGTATAAAACGAAAAATACATCATTAAAAAAATGATATAAAACGAAAAAATATATATATAATGAAAAGTTGCACCTTTCACAACCTGAGACACTAGTTCAAAGGAAGCAAGTAGCTCGAAATGAATGGAGATTGTAAACTCTAAGTACATATTTAACTAATGCAAGGTTAGTATCATTATGCCTGCGACAAGTTTGATGGATATCGATTCTAGCTAGTGCCTACATATTACAAGTGTTTTGCTGCCGGTAGTTGTTTACACGCGAGGACATGACGTTAACATTGAACTTATATTAACTTGTCACGAACTCACTATAAAGCATGAAGCTAATAAAGCGCCAGAAATTTATAATTGTGCTAGTTTTATGTGCACAAACAACTGATGCTAATATATCTCTCGTAAAATCAAATAACATAATTAAACCCTACCCAACAAATTGTTTGATAATATTCATATGTTTGTATAGCTTTATATGCCTAAACAAGCAAAAGCAAATTTGTCTAGTAAAACACAAAACGTAAAATTGCCATAAAAACGTCAAACAACACGCCGTAGTACAGAATTTGTGTGGAGAGCGACCCGAAGTTAGTGATTGATATTGTTTCATGATCGTGCAGTGTTCATTGGCGCCTCATGTCTATCATTGATAATATCAAAGATATCGCAAAATTCTTTGATTTTATTTTTAGGACGCATGTGTTTTAAGAAGTGAATTTTTTTATGAACGCTGCTACAAGTAATGGCTTTCGTCACAATAGCCTTCATATTTGGAATAGATCTCTTTTGAGTGTGGCTCACAAAACCGTTATATTTGATTGTATAAGAGTTGGCTGTAATCGTCATCACTCTATTTAATTTAATAGTTGTTTTGCATATAAATAAATAAGTAGTTGGAGGCTTGCGTTTGCTTGCTGTGTTGAGAAATGAGATAGAAGCAAAGGTAATGGACCACTGAGGAGTTGACACAGCAGCCTCATCACATTCAGAATCACATAAACGCAAAGGTCAGGAATCAAACGGGTCAGCTTCCAAGTTAATAACAAATCGTAATCACGGATCCGCATCATTGTTACGAGTAACTTAAATAAAATGAATTTACTATTATTGTATTGACATGTAAAGAAAAACTAAGGTAATGGACCACTGAGGAGTTGACACGGCAGCCTCATCACATTCAGAATCACATAAACGCAAAGGTCAGGAATCAAACGGGTCAGCTTCCAAGTTAATAACAAATCGTAATCACGGATCCGCATCATTGTTACGAGTAACTTAAATAAAATGAATTTACTATTATTGTATTGACATGTAAAGAAAAACTAAGTTATAAGACTGATATATCATGTGACGGTAAACTGTTTTATATAAGTCTTCTATGACAAGTTTTAAGTATAAATAATTCATTATTGGGTGGGTTAGTTCTGTATCACCGTCCCCCAATTATTTTCGTGGTTTAGGCTACTCTCAATCGTTTTAACTTTCTTTCTTCTAGCTACTAAGATGTTTAAGTTGCAAACCGTTAAAAAGTTTGGTCTCAAGATGATTATTGAAGTTTGTCGATTTCAACTCATACGATTAAAATTTAAAGGGTATGCTACAGTTAGTCGCTTATGCGTGTATGAGTGACTTTCAATGCTTAAACTTTAACGGTTGATACATGTGGAACCCTTGATGCATCAATGAATAGGTCGCGGGTGCAAAATGTTCGAAAAATTCTAAAAACTATTCTATAGGTTTCGAAGAACTATTCTCCTTCTAAGAATTATAAGGATTTTAATTAAATCTAAGCTTGTAAAGTTTGTTTTTTATTTCTTTCAAAATCAAATGCAAGCTTCATAAAGTGAGAGGGGCCTATAACCCAACAAACCCAACTAAGTAAATTCCCACCTGGGCCTAGTAACTCCCACCCAATTCTCTTAATCAAGGTCAACATCTCCTGCTTTTGGCTTGTTTGACC